TCTTACAAATTAAAATCCAAGTGTTTTCAAGCAACAATTGTCTTCAAAAAGCTCCCAAAATCGCCTCCTATAACTCCCCAAAACGATCCCCCACTTTTGGAACCAGTTACCTCCTTTAAATTAGAATAAAATTGTTTTAAAAACTGGCGACACGTTTACACGGCCGTGTAAATACAAAAAAGTAAATTGCTCAAATCTGTCAGGTCATTGAAGTACATTGCTCACGAGTATGCGTTTACACGGCCCGTGTAAACTATAGGCTTCCATTTACACGGCCGTGTAAACTCCTGTAAAGCCAAAATCTTCATTTTCTTCATAACTTCCTCCTCGATGCTCCAATTGTCCCGAAACTTTGTCCATATCTCCTCTTCATCACCTCAACTAAGATTCTTCCTTCAAAAGTCCCTGAAATATCATAAAAGTGTGTGAATGGAATTGCATCATGAAAAATCGAAAAATATGCAAAATGCATGAGTTTAAATCTAAATGCAATGCACTTTTATGGATTAAAACTACAAAATGCATGCATGAAATGCATCTAACAGTATGTTTATCGTATGAGATATTTTGAGGGAAACTCACTAAGCTTTATGCTTACGCCATACGAATCCACACATATAATTCTAGATCACAATTAAAGAACATATGAGAACCTTCCTCCTGACGAACCTCACAAATCGGACATAAAGAACAGGTGAGAACCTTCCTCCTGACGAACCTCACAAATCGAACATAAAGTCGACTCCATGTCTACTCCACGATGGATAAAATTAACCCGAGTATGAAGGCGGGAAGCTGATCGCCACATAAATATGTTAATCTCGATGGGGAAACTTCTATTCCACCTAGTTTTCCTTCCTCCTGTTTGTAATCTAACCTCATCAATGTGGTTTCGAGTTGATTTAACCGTAAAGACTCCTGACAGATCCAAATTCCAACCCTATTTATCAGTTTGCACCCCAAGAGAAACGAAACTCAACAAGGATTGCATGCTCTCGAACTGCCTAGTCTCTTATCCTCCCCTTATTAGTCTTCTCCAAGAAAAAACCCAATTTTGTGTGACCCAACAATCTCTAACCTTTACCTCCCGATCCATCACCAGAAAAAACAACATGTCAAATTGATCTTTAAAAATCAGACCACCACACCAAGAATCGAACCGGAACCAAGTAGACGACCCATATATTAGCACTCGAAATATGGTAGCTCTATCAACTATCCCCACATCATGCAACTTATTTATGGACCAAATAATTTTTACCAAACCATGGTACTAGTTGTATGGGTGATTCCACCTACAACACCACCGACAATTCCATGTAAGAGTTTAGTAAGATAAACCCACAAGGAGTTTCTCATTAACAAACCGTCATCTCCATTTGTACAACAACGCTAGATTGAAAGCGTCCAAATTCCCGACCTCCGGACCTCCCCAATATTGAGATGTGTTTGGATATCCCTTTTGACTTTCAGTTTCATCTTGAAAGAGTTCTGTTTCTAATGGACTCAAACAATCTTCAAAAGTTGTATCATCTTGCCTCGATTTATAGTAGTCTTTGAGCATCACTAACATTTAAACGTAATCCATCATCAATGACGTCCTCCTTGAATTTATAATTATGTCACTAAAAGAAAACAATTTCCAAAGTTCTGATAATAGCTTGGACAATTAAAATATCTTGTGGCATTATTGGTAAAACATAGAGTACAATGGATCATGCATAGCAATGTACATCCTCTAGATCTATGGATGTAGTCTTTAAAAGAA